AAGGCGCCCCCATGCCTGTGCAAAGAGGGGGGGCAGGCATCGAAGCGCATGGGCATGATGGCCCCGGGGCGCCCAGGGTTGGGCTTTGAAGGTACACAGGGGCTCGGTCGCCCTTGGAAACAACATCCCACACACCCACTGGCCCGCTGGCCCACACCGCGCCTTACTCATTCACTCAGGAGGCAGCTAGGTTGTGGCGGTGCGGCTGCCTGTCGCGCCGGCCGGCCTCGTGAGCACTCCCGTCCCCGGCTCTGGCGCCGGCTGTCCCGGGCTGTCCGGCTGTCGGATGTCGCGGCCCGCTCTTCGGGTGTAACAAACAACCGGGCCCGATCGGAGGCCGCGGGCCTACGCCCGAGCCGTGCGCCATCCCACCCGGCGCCCAAATATCTCCGACTCGCGCCGGGCCCGGGCCCGGGCCCGACCGAGATGAGAGGCGGCGACGGCGCGCTCCGCCTCCCCCCATGGAGAATGACCCCTCCCCGCAGGCCGGCCCGCGCCGCGCCTCCTGAGGTGGGTGCCTGCATGGTGCTATCTCCGCCGAGGGCCTCACGGTCAGGCCACGCCGCGGCGAAACCAGCGACCCGAGGGGCGGGCCGGCCTGCGGGATGTGTGTGTATGGGGCTGGGGGGGGGTGGGGGGTAGGACGAAGCTTCTTGGCCCCGGCTACCCCCTTCCCTCTCCCGCCCCCCCCCACTCAGCGCTCGCTGCCACGCCGGTGGTTGTTGCCTGCCATCTTCTCCAGCCGCGCGACCATGAGGTAAATGTCCGTCCCGCCCCCCCGCCTCCCCCTCAGGCCGACCCCCCTTGCCTCCCTCCCGAGAAGGAGCTCAGTTCTTGGTCGCGGTCCCCGCGTCCCCCCCCCCCGCCCTCGCCTCACCTGGACGCCGGCATCGTGCGAAAGGGCCGCGGTTCTGCCCTTTCTCGAGGCAACATTTCCCTGCTTGGCCCCCGGAGCGGCTTTGACTGACGCGCCTGACGCGGGCCCAGCATGCACTGTATCTCGGGGGCCGAAGGGTGGCCATGAGGGGAAAGCCTGTGCTTGCCTCGTCCGGCGGGGCTGTTTGTGGGCAGACCTGTGGTCATGGTGACGCACACCCCCGTGCGGTATCTGTGCGCCGGGCACGATCGTGGCGCAAGTTACCCCCCGCCGGGTGTGGCGCTCGAGTTTTCTTACGTGTAGCATTGTGCACCCTGTCCCCCTTCCCCGGCCTCTGCGCACATGCGCCCAACACGCGCCCACCACATCTGGCTGCTTGCCTGCATGCACGCATGCCTGCCGGCCGGCCGGCCTGCCGCCTCGTGTGCCGCTCGGTATCTACCCCTCAGCGTGCGTGCGCCGGCGTCAAGATCATCTCCGAGATTGGCACTGACCACAGCATGACCCGGGTAACGTCACACGTCGGTGCCCCTCCTCTCTCTCTCCCTCTCTCCCTCGAGGCGGTCAGCCTCTGGCGCCGCCCTCGCTTTCGAGGTGGGATGTCCGCCCGTCTCGCGCGCCGGGCATATTCCCCGGGGCCCATGATCGCCAGTGATAAGCCCCCCACCTCCTGCGCCTCCGCCTTCGGGCCCCGTCCCGGCCTTCCCTGCGGCCCAAACTCGCCCGGTGGCCCGCACTGGCGACCTTGGTGCGGCATCGTCCCACTCGGCCGGCCATTAGGCACCGGGCGGCCCGGGCCCCCCGGCCGCCCCTGCCTCATCCCATGCGCACCAAGCTCGAAGGTGCTCTGTGAAGGGGCTTGCGCATGCATTGAGCATGTTCCATTACACAGCACCTCTCGGGCTTGTTCCTTCGCGGGCTCACGAGCTCCGCGCCTGTGTCGCGCCAATGGCGCAAGCGCGATGCCCCCAAGTCTTGGCGAGCCAATATGCGGTCCCCATCTCCAGGGAGGCGCGCGCGCGCGCGCGCGCGCGCACCGCGACCCTTGACCACGATCAACATTCTGGCTGGGCCTCACTCCGGGGAAAAAAAAAAAAAAGAGGCGCCAGAGCCAGAGGGCCTGCCCTCCCGGCCCCTTCGTGCCTCCGCCGTGCCTCACATCCCCATGTCCATGCATGCACACACGCATGCACGCACTCCGTCCCCCTCGACCCCGGTGCCGGGCAAGCGGGGCCTTGGGTGCTGGTGTGGCCGCGCGCCCATCCACATGGGCGTCCGGTCCTCCGTGGGCCACCCCGATGCCGGCCGCCGGCTGGCGGGAGGCGCGCAAACGCCGGGCCCCTCGCGGCCAGGCCGGCAGACCGGCAGGTCACCCTTTGTGCCCCGCCCGGGGGGGACGGTTGCCCCCTTGTCCGATGTTTTTCCGGCCCTGGGGTTCGCCTCGGCCCCGCCCGGCCCCTGCCCCGCGCCCAGGTACCACGAGGAGAGGCGCACACATCCCCCATACGCGCGCCTGTGCGCGTCCACATCCGCAAGTCGGAGAGGGCCCCCCAGCCCATCTGCCACCCAGTGCTCTTTCTGCCCTTTCCCGCTCCGGCGGCCAGACTCACACGCACACACACACACACATACACAAGCACACATCCATGACGATGCATATACATATATGACACTCACATTTACTGGCAGAAATCCACACCTGCATCCCGGCTGGGTGCGGAATATTTTTCCGCCCACTTTCTGCTGGGCCTCCAGACTGACTTGCCAAAGGCTGGAGGGTTTCACTCCCAGGGCTATTAATGAGTCAAGGATTAGACAGCCAATATGCGAGCGGTCTTGCGCCAGGTAGACTCGTACCGCGCAGCGTCGAGGCAGGAACCCGGGGGGGAGGCGGGGGGGGGGGGGGGGGGGGGGGGGAGGGGAAAAAAAGGGGGGGGGGGGGGGGGGGGGGGGGAGGGGGGGGGGGGGGGGGGGGGGTGTGGGGGGGGGGGGGCAGGGAGAAGGAGACAACAAGGGAGGAGACCGGAGGGGGGCGGGGAGCGGGCGGGGTCACAGCGACCCCGGGGCTCCCCCACGTTCAAAGCCAATCTACCCCATGGCGAAGTCCGCCGCACCCGCCGCCGCCGCGCTGCCGTCGCCCAGAAGGCGGACGCGGGGGGGAGTGTCCTGGCGAGGCCGGCGAGCTGCCGGGCGTGGAGCACCCTGGTTGCCCGTCGGCAAGCGTATCACCCACAGTCTATGGGTGATGTGCTCACGTGCTTACTCGACTCTGCGCGTGATATTGTGCGCGTTCGGCTGATCAGCGTGTTCGACTCGACGCCATGTCGTCATCGTGTGCCTCCTGCTCCGGCTCTGCATGGGCGACTCTGTCCCGGGCGCAGGGCGACCTTCTGAGGCAGGAAGGGGGGAGCGCCCAAATAAAAAAAAAAAAAAAAAAAACATACACCATCGGCGCAGATGCCCCCCCCCCCCCCCCATCATCCCTGCAGGCCGCAAAGTGAGGCGAATACCCGGGGCGGCGGGGGCGGCGGGAGAAGGAACACAATACACGAGACAACAACGGATGGGACTAGGGTGCGCGCCCAAGCCAGCGGGCGCGTGCATACCCTGAGGGGGATCTATTGAAGCGGGGGGTCTGTGTGTACAAAAAGGGGAGGACACAGGATTCTATGTCGGAACAAAAAAAAACATCCAAAAGGAGGGGTGCAGGAAGAAAGAGGAAGGGGAGACACGTGTGCGGTGCGGCGCGGTGCGGTGCGGCGGGTCATACACACACACACACACACACACAAGGGCCACCTCAGGTGCGCATGACGGCCGTGTTGCCGCCCGTCTGGCTTGCCTGTGAGTCCGAGCGATCACCGACCACCAGCGTGTCGGAGCTGCTGCCCGAGAGGAGAAGCCCGCCACTGGCATCGGCCGCCAGGCCATTGGACATGAGGCTGCCAAAGCCCGGAGAGAAGGACAACTGCTGTCCCCCGGAGACTGATGCCATCAGAGGGAGGCTGCCACTGCTGCCACTCCCCTGGAGCTGGACCATGTTGGCCTGCTGCTGGAGCTGCAGCTGGCGGAATTGCTGGAGCTGCTGGAGCTGATGCAGGCGCTGGAGCTGAATGCCGCCCGAGAGGAGGGCATCCTCTTCGGAGGATTGCTGCTGCTGCTGTTGTTGCTGCTGCTGCTGCTGCTGCTGGGCCTGCTGAAGTTGAGCCTGCTGGAGTTGGCGATACTGTTGGTATTGTTGCTGGAGTTGAGCTTGCTGTGCCTGCTGTTGCTGCTGTTGCTGCTGTTGCTGTTGCTGTTGCTGTTGCTGCTGACGGAATTGCTGCTGCTGCTGCTGCTGCTGCTGCTGCTGCTGCTGCTGCTGCTGCTGCTGCTGCTGCTG